TAATTGTTTCAAGTTATCAGTTATTTGTTTTCCTTTAGTGCCCTTCTCCATTTTCCCCATAACTAGCTCTTTGAGCTTCTTTCCTTCTGTTCCTGATTCACTCTCTGCTTCTTCCACTTTCTTGTCCTTGGAAACTAGCCTTGACTGTGCCTTTGCACACACACCCTCCCCCACATGCTAGGTTCCATCTGCCCAGAATGGCCTCCCTTTCTTCTGCACCTAACTCATCTGTGCACCTTACAAGACCTAGATCAAGAAAAAGTCTTTGTTCACTCCCTTAGAGTTTTGTTCTTAGTGCCCCCAAAGCAATTTTAGCTTTGCACATCTGTAATTTTTCTGTCTACACAGTTATCTTCACAGAGTGTGAGATATCAAGAGAGTTAGGACAGAATTTTTTTGTTTTTTTTTAATTCTCAGTGCCTAGCATAGCCCTTCACATTTAGTAAGTGCTCTCTAAAGCTTGTGATTTCAAGAAGCACAACTTGAAACAATATCGAATCATAATTTATGACCACAGCTAGCTGACTGCATTGAATTTCCACCAAACTATGTGTGTGTATGAGAACGTGTATATGTGTGTGTAGGTTTGTGTGTTTGTAGAAATAATTTGGAGTAACCATTGTATCAAATGTGAAGCAAAGAAACATAACCACATAATTCTTAACTTACAATTCTCAGAAAACAGTCAACATTTTTCAAAAGTGTATGTTTTTTTTCCTCAAAGAAATTATAACCACTTATGGAGATATAGAAATTACACATACATTTGTATGATCTTATATTTTCTTTGATACACAAAACTCCCCAAATAGTTGATATACCTTATTATAAATATATTTAAAGTAAGTTAATTAGCATTTCAATCAAGCTTCAAAAAACCCAGAGCCTCCAACCTTTCAAATGCCTAAATAGCTATTGATCTCCATTCTGGAACAGAGACTCGTTACCATTGGTGTGATATTTGTGCAGGTCCAAAAATTAAAGGTGCTAAGTATTATGGTGTGACAAATTTGGGTTAGAATCTGGCTTTTGTATCTTATCACCTGTAACATTAGATGAGTTACCCCTCTAGGGGTGCCTGGGTGGCTCAGTCGGTTAAGCCATCTGACTTCACCTCAGGTCATGATCTCACGGTTTGTGGGTTCAAGCTCGGCGTCGGGCTCTGTGCTGACAGCTAGCTCAGAGCCTGGAGCCTGTTTCAGAATCTGTGCCTCCCTCTCTCTCTGACTCTCCCCTGCTCATGCTGTCTCTCTCTCTCTCAGAAATAAATAACACATTAAAAAAATTTTTAGTTAAGTTACCACTCTAAACCTCATAGGTTGTATGTGTGTGGTGAGAGTTGGAGGAATAGTGGGAATATAAGTCATTTATTGTGTCTGGACACTCAATGACTACAAACCTGTGTTAGGTATTATATTCTTCCTTAATCTGATGTTCCATATTTATTTTATCTATAGGCTGTTTTTAAATGTTTGTTTATTATTTTTGAGAAAGAGTAAGAGCACAAGCAGGGGAGGGGCAGAGAGAGGGGGGAACAGAGGTTCCAAAGCAGCTCTGCTAGAAGCAGAGACCCCAATGTGGGGCTTGAACTCAGGAACAGTGAGATCATGACCTGAGCCGAAGTCAAATGCTTCACCAACTGAGCCACCCAGGCACCCCTATCTGCAGGCTTTTATAGGTATCACATATGTTATCTTCACAACTACTATGTAGAGTGGCAGGACAGCATTATGCTTATGTTATAAATAATGAAAATCAGACCCAGAGCTATGACCCAACTCACATACTAGTAAGTGCTATTTTCAGAGCTCCTGTTGAACACTTTCTTTTGAATTATACTACATTGAAGCTTTATTAAAATTCACAGGTGGGTTTGGGGGGGGAGCGGAATTCACAGATGTTTTCTGATTCTGACTAAAAAGAATTTTCTTTTCTTTGAACTCTGAGGCTTAATTTCCCTGTACCATTTTTCCCTGTTTGCTAAAATCAACTGAAGACCACAAACAACATGAAATGCATGCTTCAATTTGTAACCAGGCTACAATACCTAAACTGCTGAATCAACTTCCTAGAAGTCACGGGTCTACCACTCATGTGCCATTTACTCAACCCCTTCTGATGCTTATCAAGGGCTGCATTCCAGAGGATCAAGTGTATGTGATAGCATATTGTGAATAAGTAGCCAGGGCAGACAAAAGTCAAGTAGCTTTGTCCTCAGCAAACCACCTGGCCACAGTGTTTTAATTCATTTATGGGTGCTTTTTCCTGCTCTAACTCCATGTGTAATTGGAAAAAAAAAAAGCTAAGAACTCATCTTATTCATAAGAGAAGATACTATAATTGGTATTTTATGCAGGATTTATAGTCTAAAGGCCCTAGACCTTACTTTCCCCACTAAACTCTAAGGCCAAAAAAAGTCTCTCTATGTGTGTCAACTATACTCAAAAATAAAAATTAGAGAATAAACAGGGTTGCTGGTGGGTTAAATAGGTGATGGTATTAAGGACGGCACTTGTGATGAGTACTGGGTGTTGTGTGTAAGTGATGAATCACTAAATCCTATGCATGAATATAATATCATACCGTATGCTAACTAACTAGAATTCTGGAATTAAAAAAACTTGGGAAAGAAAAAAAAAAAATTAAAGTCTTACCATAGCTTCCAGACAAAATTGAAAAGGGTAATAAATCTCTAATGAGAATTGGGCTCATTCCCAAATAAACATATTAAACCAATATATATATAAGGTCAAAAACACTCTTAAAATTAATCAACAAAAAGAATAGGAGCTTCCACTACACAAAACAAATCAATAGGGGCACCTGGGTGGCTCAATTGGTTAAGCATCCAACTCTTGATCTCTGTTCAGGTCTTGATCTCATGGGTTCGTGGGATTGAGCCCCGATCTGGGCTCTACTTACAGTTCATGGCTTGCTTGGGATTCTCCCCCCATCTTAGTCCCTCCCCCATTTGTGTACCCTCTCTCAAAATAAACAAACTTAAAAAAATTAATAGACTGAAATTCAGATATTGTGGCTCACATATATCTTGATCCAAGTTCAACTTCATATGAAATATAGGCTGACATTGAAGATGTCACATTATGGCTCTGTTCTGTTCAAATTTTATTTCCTATCTTTTGTCTACATAAACCTTTTTTCAGCTGAACCAGTCTAATTTGCAAATTAATCCCCACAGGGGCACCTGGCTAGTAAAGCACATGACTCCTGATCTTAAAGTCATGAGTTCAAGCCCCAAATTAAGCATGGGACCTACTTAAAAAAAAAAGTCATAAATTAATCCCCACATATTTTCTGCTTTCTAGGGAGAGTATTATTGGATTTCTCTAGACTTCTCTAATGGCCTTATCCTTTGATTCTTTATCAGCACTTTTTGTCTGTACCAATCCTATCATTTATATGTATATATAATACAGTGTAACACTTACTGTATAGTTTTCTGTATTTTATGTATGTAGTTTATTTCCCAATTGCTATGTCATTAACATCTTAAAGTCAGGGGCTATGTCATGTATTTGCCTTTATTTCCAGAACCCAATACATGTTCTACAAATAATAAGCATGAAATAAACAATTGCTGCTATTTTGAAAAAGTCACCAGAAAGGGAAAAATCCCTAGAAATGGACATTTTTTTTACATAGGAACTCTAAAAAGAAAGTTTTTTTTTTCATTTTCCAGTCATTTTTAACTTCTTAAAAATAATACTCTCTTGATTATAGAGACACAAGTTTTGGAGAACACATTGGTCTTCAGTTGACAGCTTATACTGTACATATATTACATACTATATTATACAGCATTGCATTTGTATATTAAATAACAATATACCTTATTACTTGAAGTTATTCCAAATGTTTTCGACAGTCATATTTACAAGTGTATCTCAGTATTTTACACAATTTTATTGGGATTCTAAATAGTTATTAAGCCTGAATCTTTTCATAGAATATTAATTGTAGAGGTTATGCATGCTTGTGGTAAACAACGGACAACATACAAAGTACCAGTCCTTTACTTCCTGTTACTCTAGTCCCGTGCCCCAGTAGTCAACTGCTATAAATGATTTCTTATTTGTCTTTTCAGAAGTCTTAGCACACATGCCTGAAAAGATAAAATAAGTATATTTTGGGAATTATGTTGGGGTGCCTGGGTGGCTCAGTCAGTTAAGCATCTGACTTCGGCTCAAGTCATGATCTCACAGTTCGTGGGCTTGAGCCCCGCGTCGGGCTCTGTGCTGATAGTTAGCTCAGAGCCTAGAGCCTGCTTCAGATTCTGAATCTCCCTCTCTCTCTGACCTTCCCCTGCTCATGCTGTCTCCCTCTCTCTCTCAGAAATAAATAAAACATTAAAAAAAATTTTTTTAAGGAATTATGTTATACATTCTGTTTTACAGGTTGCTTCCCCCCTCCCAACAAGGTGCTTTTTATCTCTTTACAATATAGCATGTTTCCGTATCAGTATATATAAATCTACTTAGTTTTTTTTTAAGTTTATTTATTTATTTTGAGAAAGGGAAAGACAAAGCATGCAAGCCAAGGAGGGGCAGAGTTGGTGAGAGAGAAATTCCCAAACAGCCTCCACACCATCAGCACGGACTCAGGGCTCAAACTCACAAATCATGCATGACCTGAACTGAAACCAAGAGTTGGACGCTTAACCAAGTGACCCACCCACGCACCCCTGCAATGCTTTCCAAATGATGATGTCCCCTCTGCCTTCTCTTTTCTGCAGCCAAGACCAAGAGTTGAGATTGACATTTTTGCTCCAAGAAATTCGCTAGAGATTCAGCCACGTTGTTGGATGCACTGATGGTTCATTTCTTTTGATTGCGGTGTAGTAGAGGTCTTACTACCATAAACCACATGTTATTATTAGATGCCATAGCATCTTCTATCACAGCACATTTTTAAGAAATCAAATATAATTGACTCTAAAAGTCAAAGGTTGTGTTATGAAATTAATATAGTCCCAGGCTTGGTTTCAGGAGTGTGATGGTAGTTTTATGAGTATGGTCCTGGATGAGGTACAGGATAGTCTTTCCATTAGAAAATGTTTACCATTAGAAAATACCATTGTTATTGCATATTTTGTCATTTGGTCAACGTGATTTACTTTGACCTTGAAGGACAAAAAAGGTAATCTTAGATTGAAAGGAACCTCCAGAAGACTTCTGACCTTCTTCTCCACTGGGATATTTTCCAGTTCATCCAGGGCAATATGCCCAGTACACGAAGAGCCAATGTTAAAATCAGCTGTGTAGGTCAAACAGGTGAAGTTCTCGTTTATGGATTTGCTCTGGTGTTTGAAACAACAGCCCACTGAAAGACAGGAAGTACCTTAGTGTATTAAGATAATATTATCCACCTTCCTAGTAGGTAATAGTGACCATTCAGAGCAGTTAGGAAATGAAAGTATGAGGAAAACTACAAATTTAGGACACATTTAACCTAGCAGTTACTGAAACAGCTGTATAAAGTATTTCAGAAAATGTGAAAGAGGGGGTTCCTGGGTGGCTCAGTTGGTTAAGCATCCAACTCTTGGTTTTGGCTCAGGTTATGATCTCATGGTTCATGAGTTCCAACCCCATGTCGGGCTCTGCACTGACCGTGTGGAGCCTGCTTGGCTTTCTCTCTCTCCCTCTCTCTCTCTCTCTGCCCCTCCCTTGCTCATGCTCTCCCTCTCTCTCTCAAAAATAAAAAACAAACATTAAAAAAATAAAGCAATAAGAAAAAAATGTGAAATAGGACTGTCAAAAAGCACTTTTCTAAAAGAACAAGGTAGAATAGAAAACAACTTTATAAAATAAATAAGAATTCTGCCGTATGATAGAATTTCTTTCCTAATAGATGTTAGTTCTTGGTGAAGTAATGAGGGAAATAAAAGCAGAAGAAATCAAGTTAGATATACTTTTATAGATGGGAAAATGTGCCTTTGAACCTCCATGGGTTTTTTTTATCAATTAAAATGCAATCCAAGAATCTGTAAATTAGAGCAGAATATTCATAGGCAACTTGGAAATTTTGAATAACAGATTTCATTGGTTTGCTGAAAGCCCATAAATGTGACTTGGTAAAAATAGATCAGAGAACAGCAAAGAAACAAAGGCTAATTTACTTCAGTGACAAAATAATATCTGAATCCCCACACTAAACAATTATTTTCCTGTTTCTGCTAAAAGTGCTTTCTTTATATGTTACTTAGCTTTTAAGATAAGTATCTCTAATTTTTTTGTCAATTTGACATGTAAGGAAAATTTCAGTTGGTGTCCTTGAAATAGTTTCTTCGCTTCTGTGCGTCCTTCTTTTTTCTTCTTAAGTGCAAAAAAGATACGGAGAATAATAATACTGAAGGACCGAGAGGAGGATAAAACATCCTTTAGAGGTCACTCTTCAAGGGGTGCCTGGGTGGCTTAGTTGGTTAAGCGTCTGACTTTCGCTTAGGTCATGATCTCACGGTTTGTGGGTTCGAGCCCCATGTCGGGCTCTGTGCTGACTGCCAGCTTGGAGCCTGTTTCAGTCTGTGACTCCCTCTCTCTCTGACCCTCCCCTGCTCACTCTCTCTCTCCTAGAAATAAATAAAACATTTAAAAAAAAAAAAAAAGAGGCCACTCTTCAGGCCCGGTAAGCACCCCACACAGCATGACCAAAGCCAGCTTAGCTGCTGCTTCTCATTTTCACAGTGTAAACCAGAAATTCTGGGATTATCCTACTCTCCTTCTTCTCTTCCACCAATCTCCCTCCCCACATCAGTTATTAATTCTCTTCATACCAAATTCTTTGGTAACGGTCCCTTTCTCTTTCTTCACAGCTGCCACAATTTCAGGCTCCTTCAGCTTTTCCTCATTTTACTGCAGGGACTTCTTGACTGCTCTCTCTGTCTGACTGGGATCCCATGATCTATCCTACAATGATATTTTTGAAACAAAAATCAAATCAACGGCACTTCTGCTTCCACTCCTTGAAAACCACTGCACAGGATTCAGGATAAAATCCAAATCCTTGAGTTTAATGCACAAAGCTCTTCACGGTCTGGTCCCTGCCCGTGCCTCTTGCATCATCAGCTACCATTTCCACACGTGCCCTGATATATCTTGCTATTTCCCACCATCTTGCCTTCAAACACCCTGCTGCCTAGGAGTCAAATGCTCTTTCTTTTATAAACCAATGCTCAATGTCCCTCTTCTGGGTTCTGTTACTCCCCCCATCCCCACATTAATATAAATTCCTGTTTTATGCTCTCATTTTACTTATGTTACTCATTCATTCATTCAACAATTATTTGAGTGCCTACTATGTGACAGGAATTCTACTATACTGTCACTGTGCTGTGATAATCTATATGTCTCTTCTCTCTGCTTGAATGTAAATTCCCTGCAGAGTGGATTCATCCATAAAGATGGATGGAGATTTTAAAGGAGAGCCAACAGTGTTCTTAATAGGCACCAAAAGTATTTTTGTATTAATCATTTTATGTAGAAATATTTCTAGGATGTACTATAAACTCCCTGCCTTCTGAAAAAATAATAGTACTGTTTGACTTTACGAAACGACTCTTTATTACTTTTCTTTGAAGTATATAAATTTTTTCTATATTTTTGTTTTCCTTCCTTGCTGATATGAAGTGACTTTTTGCTTACTAGTGCTGTCAGTATGCCACTCAAGATAGATGTTCTTCCTCTAACACCAATCTGATCTGTTTTAGAAGACACATCATAAAAATTGCTGTAACTATATGCAAAATATGAACAAGTGGATACAAAATGAGGTCCTGAAGACTCTTTCACAAGAATAGTCATGGGGGTGCCTGCGTGACTCAGTTGGTTAGGCTCTGACTCAGGTCATGTTCTCATGGTTCCTGAGTTCCAGCCCCATGTCAGGCTCTCTGTGCCAGTACAGAGCCTGCTGCAGGTCTCTGTCCCTGTCTCTCTCTTCCCCTGTCCCCCTTGCACACTCTCTTTTTCTCTTTCAAAATAAGTAAATAAACTTAAAAAAAAAAAAGAACAGTCATGAACTCATGAACTCCAGACCAATGGACTTCATGACATTTATTTTTGCATACTCAGAATACTTTCCTTACTTCAAGATTCTTTGGGTTCTGTATAGCAATGGTATTACTGTAGAAAATTTAGTACCATTTTAAAAACTAAAATCTACTAAAACAGAAATTAATATTTGAACATATACCTGATTAGAAAATAGTAATAAGATATGGTATTGTGGAGTCAGTAGAGCATGTGACTCTTGATCTCAGGGTCATGAGTTCAAGGCCCACATTGGATGTGGAGCCTACTTTAAAAATAAATAATAAATGAATTAATTAATTAATAAGTAAATAAATAAAAGACATAGTACAGTGAAAAGATAAATTACAAAACTGATTTGATTTAAACATCTGGCAAAGTCTATGATACTCCCCTAGTATACGATGAAATGAAAAGAGTATAAGCTGTGGAAACAGATAACCTAGGCTCAAATGCTTGTTCACCCTTTGGGTGATCTTTGGGTAAAAGCTATTCTACCTTCATTTCATCTATAAAATCCCTAACTTGAAAAATGGAGGTAAAAACACTCTTCTTGGGGGTGGGGGGGTGAGCCTGGGGGCTCAGTCAGTTAAGCATCCAACTCTTGATCTCAGTTCAGGTCTTGATGTTAGGGTCATGAGTTCAAGCCCGCGTTGGAGTCTATGCTCGGTGTGGAACTTACTAAAAAAACAAAAAAACTTTTCTTACTGTGTTGTTAATAGATTAAGATAATAATTTAAAGAGTCAACAATAATATGCACTTAAAAATTTGTAAGAGAATAGCTGTCATGTTAAGTGGACATACAAGAGTAAAATAAAACATTTTTTAAAAAGATAATAGTTTAAGAGCAATTGCTTATTGGGCATTTTCTCTTGTAGGGATGAACTCCTCCAAAATAAGATAGGCATATATATTAGGAATTAGAGAAAGAGCTAACCCTCAACAAAATGGTACATCATTAATGTTTTACTAGGCAAATCTTGTAATCCCTTTTAAATGTATGCTATCAGTGCCTCTTTCAAACAACCTTGTAACCTTTGTTAACATGATTACAGCCTTCCTCAGCCTGCTTTCATGAGATCTCCTCTCCTTCTCTCCTTTATTTAATTGTCAACGACCTTCAGGTCTTTCCTTAAGAATACCAGGCCATTTTTGAAGATGGTGTGAAGGTGTTTTGTTTTTTGGGTTTTGTTCTTTTTCTTTCTTTTGTTTTTTTAAATTCTGAGTTTGTGCTAAGCGCTTTCTATCCATTAACTCATTTAATCTCATGGGACAGGTACTGTTGTTTTCTTTTTACTTTTATTCCATCTTTATTTTTTCTTATTGAGGTAAAACTGAGAAATAATGTTGTGTTCACTTCAGGTATACAATATAATGATTCAATACTTATATATATTGCAAAATGATCACCACAATACCTAGTTAATAGATAAAAACTTTTTAAGATTTATTTTCTCAGCAATTTTCTAATATACTAATACAGTATTGTTAACTTTAGATGTCATGCTGTACATTATCTCCTCATGACTGTTTTTAAAGTCTATTTACTTATTTTGAGAGAGACAGAAGAGTTGAGGTGGCGGGGACAGAGAGAGAGGGAGAGAGAAAATGCCAAGCAGGCTCATGGGCAGAACCTGCCTCGGGGCTTGAATTCACAAAACAGTGAGATCACAACCTGATCTGAAATCAAGAGAAGGAAGCTTAACTGACTGAGCCACCCAGGCGCCCATGACTTACTTATTTTTTAACCAGAAGTTTGTGGGTTTTTTTAAGTAATCTCTACACCCAGTGGGAGGCTCAAACTTACAACCCCGAGATAAAGAGTCGCATTCTCTGCCAACTGAGCCAGCCAGGCAGCCCTGAAGTTTGTAGCTTTTCACTCTCTTCACCTATTTTGCCTACCCCTACTCCTACTCCTCAGACAGGTACTGATTTTACACACATTTTACAGAGAGGTGGAAGTTGAAGCCTGTGTTGTTCAATGTCAGTAGCACATGTGGCAATTGAGCACTTGACATAGCCTATGTGGGGCGCCTGGCTGGCTCAGTTAGGAGATCATGAGACTCTTGATCTCACGGTTGTGAATTCAAGCCCCATGTTGGGTGTGGAGCCTATTAAAAAAAAAAAAAAAAGAAAAAGTGGGTTGTCTGAACTGAGATATATATATGAAACACACATAATATTTCAAATACTTAGTGCAAATTTAAAATATGTAAGCTATTTCATTAATATTGGTTTACAGGGATGCCTGGGTGGCTCACTTGATTGAGGATCTGACTTCAGCTCTGGTCATAATC